CATAAACCTATTTGTCCTTTTGTTTGTTTACTAGAAGACAATCTATGTTTCTTTATAGAACTATAATTGGTTATTTATGAGACAGGTCCTAGACAATGAGGAATCTGATCTAAATATCTGAAAAATCCCCTAAGTTGTTTTGCCAAAGTGATATCTCAGAAGGCTATCTGTGTGGACCTATATTGCTGAGATGTTGTTGTCTATGTGGGTCATTAACAGAATGGCCTGATATAATAAATATAAGCAAGCACTCCATGTCAATGTCGTCCTAGTCCTGATTGCCACCTGTCTCACATTAGCATTTGGGTGGAAGGAAACGAAAAATATTAGTGAGCTTAATTGGAGCCAGAACGAGTTTAATGTCAATGGCTGACAGAGACGTAGACCACTCCACAGCTGGTTCTGATGTTTGTCACCTAATGTGCTGACTTAATTAACGGGTGCTGTCCTCATTATCAGATAATGACATGCCAAAATAGTATTTGTTAAGTCCAATAAAGTGATGAATTGTAATTGTATAAAGCTAATTCATGTGGCTATCAAGATGTAATTAAGGAATAATTACTGACAAATGCACACATCTGGAGTGACTTTAAATTTTAATGGATTAGGCTACCAAAAAGGTGAAAGACGCTCTAGCTTTCGGTGGATGTAGCTATCCCATGTTTTCTGTGCATGCTGAATTCTACACATAAAGATATCCAGATAAGCCTATGAATACTAGAAACATCAGTAGCTTCCATTTTAGGGCAATAAAAATTTAAAAACACATCAAGGCATCTCACTTTTGTCACATCACTGTTTAAAGATCAAGTTTAACTTCCAACCACTAAAGCAGCTTACATACTGCATCCTTTTTTCAGGTAAATTAATTTTATCTCATACTATTTAAATGATATCAGCAATAAATGCAACATGGATCAGAAATGAAAAAAAAAAGGAAATGTGCAATATAAAGCATTTAATGACAGACTTTGCTTCCTAACATAAAAGGAATGCAGTCACATTATTTGGGAACAATATTTGATGATTTAAAGAATCAGCAGAATTGAGTCAATTGGAAATAAAATAATTGAAAAGCATTTCATTGTTAGTATATTTCCTTAACATTAAAGAAAAAGTGGAATTTCATGCTTCCAAAAGTTTGTTTCCAAAGGATCAACTTGACATATTTTACTTATAAAATGAATAATATAACCCATAAAATTGCACACAATATAAACTGACATCAACTTCATACGTAACCAACACAAAAAAATCATTTTAATAACTTCTATCATTTTCAATGTCACCAACTTAACTGATATTCCTAGATACTTCCATACAATTTTGTATTCCATTTATTCAGCTGTCTTTAAAATTTATCAATTAACTCCTTTCTCTAATTTCTTCATTAATGATAATTGTGAACATGGTAATAATAATGTTAATGACTTTGATAATGAAGATAGCTATTATTTTTGCACTTCACAATAATGCTAATTATGGTTAGGTTTTAGCTCATTGCATATAATTTCCTTAAGTTCTCACTGCATGGCAATCTTATAATAAGCCATGAAGTCATGTCCAGTTTAATATGTTTATGTAATGATTTTTGTCATACTGGCAACTTGACAAACATTCCCTAAAGATGTGTTGTACAAGCTGGAGTTCACATACAAGTGGACAAGTCAGTTGGACAGAGAGGAAAAGAGAGAGTGAACCAAGTCCTGAAATGAGACAACCAGATATGGCACACTGCCATTTTTGGTGGTATCTTAATCTCTATACTCACAGTCTCCCTGAGTCATACTTTTAATGTGCTGTATTGCAAACATTTTGACAAGATTTTACATCCATGTTCATGTGACCCAGTTGCCTATTACATTCTGCTCTTACCACGTCCTTGTCTGGATTAGGATCAGGATACCACGAACTGCAGGAGAACATTCTGAAAACATGCCTTTCTTGGTCATATTCTGGAAGAATTAGAAAATGGTTGATATTTGTTCTTCAACTGTTCAGAAGATTTTAGTAGTAAAACCATCAAAAGCTATTATGCTTATTAAATTATGTATTGATTTAATATGCACAGTTAGAAATGGTTGGTTTGGCTTTTTATTTCTTCATGCTTTAGTCTTAATATGTCTATGTGTATAGGAGCTTTAGTGCGCATGCAAGTCATCATTATTTTTATGTTCTTTTATGGAACTATGTTTTCCATTATTCTCTTTCTTTTCTATTTTTAATTTTTATTTCTATATTCCCTTATCTAGTCTAGCTAAACTATTTTTGGCTTTCAATTTTATTTGTGAAGTTACTCAATCAGAAAAGGAACAACATCCTATGTTCTCTCTAAGACAATCTTCATGAAAATACAGGATCAACTGTAATAGAGGTAAAAATGCATGTACATATGGTCATCTAGACTTCCTGTGTAACAGGGAATATCATATCAAGCAATGAACACAGGACCCAATGAGATAGCCTATTGGATGAAGTCCTTGCCTTGCACATCAGTATCCCATATAGGGCTGGTAATTATCCTTGCAGTCCCGCTTCCAATCCAACACCCTGACTGTGGCCTAAGAAACCAGTACAGCATGGCTTAAAGCCTTGGAACCCTGCACCTAAATGGGAGACATGGAAGAAGCTCCTGGCTCCATATTGGCTCAGCTCCGGCCTTTGCAGCCACTTGAGGAATGAATCAGTGAATCTCTCTCTCCTTGCTGTGTATCTGACTTTCTGATAGATAGATAGATAGATAGATAGATAGATAGATAGATAGATAGATAAGAAAACAAATCAAAGAGATGAAGAATCATTAAGCAGGGTGGAACAGGGTGAAACATTGAAACATTTTAAGAAATCAAAGAGGACTCGTTAAAGGCAAAAGGGCACCAGGAGACTGACAGACATGGTGTGCATCAAACACAATGGTGTGGTGTTGTAATCACCAGATATTCCAGTGGTAGTCAGCAAGAAATCTGAGCTCCACCCCCAGGGGCCAGAGTTCTGTTAGCAGCCAAGTGTGAAGCAGAGTTCATCAGGAGCTCTGGAGGTGAATCCAGACCAAATTAAAAAAAAGAAAATGTGTAACCTGCACCAATGTGGCGTCCTACAGGTCCCACCCAAAACTGGTTTGGATAGGCCCCAGCTAATGGCTAGTAGATCAAGAACTCCACCAATGGCACATCGTGCACCAGTTTGTCTAGTGTGAAAAGGTAATCAGACTGCAGGGACAACAGTAAGCTGTGCATGTGCTGAGCTGGAAGATAGCTCACTTCCACATCCGTGTGTGGCACTGGTTCCACACTGACAATTACACCCACTTTGGCATCTTATGGGTCAAAACCGGTCTGGGTGGCCCTCAGACCAGAAGGTTCTGACAAGATCAGCATCACTAACAATCTAGTTATTTAGCACATGTAGTGTCTCCCTAGTGCTGGGAACTGCTTGAAACTGAGGTGGGAACAAGGATGCATAAACAGCAATGCAGCCACAGCACAGGATCACAGGTGATGGAGAGTGGTAAGCCAGGGCTGGGGCTGCGGGGACCATGGTGAAGAGCTCAGACACAAAAGCCTGGTCCTGCAACTGGCTGGAGAGGGTGGTGCAAGTGACTGCAAACAAAGAACCAGTAAAATTAAGCAGTAGACTTGTGGATGACACAACTTAGAATCCTGCCCTAAGGAAAAGAATCTGCTATCCAGTATAGTGATAAAGAGTAAAAGAAGAGACAGAGGCCTAATGAGTATTAGGGAAGACTCCCCTGCACAGGAATAAAATCTCTGCCAACTTCAGAGTTAACTGAGGAATAAATCAAGGAAATGGAGGATATAGAATTTCGACAAGTAGTAATGAGGTTTGTTATCAACAGGGAAAAGCACATCCAGAAATCCAAGGAATTTAAGGAGTCTGTCACCCCAGAATTTGCAACAATGAAACAAAATCAAACTGAATTGCTAGAAATGAAGTTCACAATAGAGCAAAATAAAAAATTTTGTGCAAAGGCTCCATCATAGAATGAATGAGGCAGAAGAAAGAATCTCAGAATTGGAAGATATTTCTTGCTATAAAGGGGTAAGAAGCAAATTCCATCTATCAGTTGCCTAAGGGAGACATACATCACCAAGAAAGATCAACAAAACTATATCTCATGGATTTTGATGTTTGTTTTTATTTTCATATTTTCAAAAACAGTTCCTTTTCTTATATTAAATTCTTCACTGACTCATAGAAGACAGTAGTATAATTTTCTTCAAAAAACTCATTGAGTTTCTATTTAATTTCCTCAGCGACACATTGGGCTTTGGGTAGCAACTTCATGGAGTTGTAAATTTCTATTTTTCTTCCCGTTGTTGATTTTGTATTGTGTCTTTTCATTTAATGGAATGTATAGTAAATCATATTCACATGTGAGGATACAGTGCAGTGTACATCTCTACTTCCAGATCAAGAATGGATTCTCACTGAAACTGTTAAATATTCCATGCCCACAATGATGTTTTTATGACTGGTTATGAAGCACCATTCTATTGCATTACTATAGGGGAAATTAGTGGGAGGAGGAGATTTGGGGAGGTGATGAGGGAAATCCCAGAGTGTATGGAGCTTTAGTATAAAATGATAATAGTAAAAAAAATGGAAGTGAGACCTTGGGGCCTGGGTACAAAGAATGTCCAGCAGCCACCAGCTGCTAGGAGCACCAAGGTCAGGTCAGACTCCATGCTTGGGGCCATGCTTGGAACCACTACAAACTCATGCAATTGCTGCCTAAATATGTTCATGTTGAGGCCACTATCCGTGTAGGTGAGGAATCAATCCTGAGGATCTCCTAACACAGGGTAACTTTTGCTTGAAGCTAAGCCAGGGTACTGAGACCTGGTGGTTTGGAGGAGAGAGACCGGACAATTTGTTTGGGTCAGATTGATATACCAGCCCACTTGTGAGTCCTGTGTAGAACTTGTTACCATCAAACAATGCTGACCACCACACGCCAGTGCAAGTGAGAGCTAAGGCTGGGGACTTGTCTAGCAGGGCCAGATCCTAGTATCTGACAGAATGTTGGATCAGGGGATGGGTCACATTAGGCAGGGCCATGAAACTAAGCAACATACGAGAGAACCATGTTTAGGGATAGATTCTGTGGGGGATGTGTGGAAAAACTAGTCCTGCTTGTTAGCTCAAGAGTTGTGGTAGGCTGCTGGGCTTGGCTGGGCTGTAACCCCGTCAGTGTCTGCTGGAATTGGGGGAGGGCTGGGCTGGGCCAGGCTACAGCAGCCACTGGAAAATGTTGAGGCGAGGGGCCATGCCAGACTGGGCTGCAGCATCCAACCAGCACGTGTGAGGAATGGGGTGGGTGGGGGCAAAGCTGGTAGGGGGAATGTGGGGGGACCAGGCAGAGCTACAACACCTGTGGGCCTCAGGTGAGCTATATCAGGGAAAAGCCAGGCTGGGCTGATGTTCCTACTGGTACAAGCACAGTTCAGAGTGGATAAGGGTTGGTTGGGCTTTGCTACAGAATCAGCTGGCAGATGCTGGTACAGCATTTTATAAATATCCTAGATTGACCCTAAGGTATTAAGTTTAACATATTATAATTAGAATTTTTTTTTTATTGTTGCTTACATTGTATTATGTAGTACAGTTTTATAGGCGCTGGGGATTCCCCCCACCCCTCCTATACCCCTCCCCCCCATGGTGGATTCCTCCACCTTGTTGCATAACCATAGTTCAAGTTCAGTTGAGATTCATTGCTTGCAAACACTTGCCTAGCATAAAGTTCAGCGTCTTATTGTCCAGATAAGTTCAGTGGCCTCTTGGGGAGACCTTCTATGGTCTGAAGATAGGTCTAACAGAGTAAAGATCCGGTCAGTTAAAAGCCCCAACAAGGCCTCAGTATCAATATACAACATTATGGAATTAATTGACATAGTATTGGGTAAACAATATGTTAAAAATTAGAAGTGAACCTAACTTAAGCAATAACATTTGTTAGGATTTATTTCTGTGTCACATTTTGTTCCACTGAATTTTCTCATCTTCATATTTGCCCTCACCCACTAATCAATCTTTGATTCAGTAATTCAGTCTGTCTGTTCCTCATCAAATCACATCTGTTCTTCTTAAAACTCATTTAAGCAGAATGTATTATCCCTAATATCCTATGAAAACGTTATGAACTGCAATGTAGTTTCAGACAGATATTTTACGTGGATAATGCCTCATGACAAGAACATTCATAGAATAGTTTCACATCACAATCTGAGTATCAGAATCACAGTTAAAATTTTTCCAAATAATTTCCGAGGAAAGTAACGTGGCTTTATAAGTAGTGCTTCAGAATGTACAAAGTCCGACCTTGTTGTATATCCAGCCATTCTCTCCCAAGTTAGCATTATTTCACATACACCCACAAATGAAAAATTTCAACAAATTCATTTGAGATCAAATACATAATTGCATTTGCAGTGAAAATGAAGAATGCCACCATATGGCATCTATGATTTTTAGAGTAATTTAAAACTTTGTAATTATCAATTTTTCTACTTTTCATATCATATTATCAAGTTTATAACCTTATGGAGACTCACTCCATTTGCCAAGCAATTTGGGGAATTTTCCCCGAAATCTTAGCAGTGAAATTAAATCACATTTCAGGCTACATTAACTAAAAATGAACTCACACCAAAATAATGATTGTATAGACAGATGTATCTGAAAGCATCTCAGTAATTCATAGCTAATGAGTAGCAAAGCAGGGTCAATTAAAATCTTTGTTACATCATTAGCAGAGATTTGTCTTGAAGCTTTTGTAGACACCACGTTCGTTTATCCAGCTGGATAACTATTCCCAGTGGGAGGACAGGGAGATTCTCCACAGGGCACAGACCAGTGACGGCATGGAGATAACGTGGATCTGTCTGTGGTCTCAGGCCCAGAGGTGATGTACTATCTACTAAAGCTTTGTAATTTCCAGCCCTTACAAATTCTACTGTTTGTACATTTGTTTGGTTTCTGGCAGAGATAAATGTTGTCACTCCCAAAATCAAGTTAGACTTCGTATAATGATCGTATACCTGCAATGGAATAAGTAAAACAATACTAATAAGTTTGAAAATCTAAATCTTCTCTTGAATATACAAATAATTAAATTCTTGCCTTTGCAGTCTTAACAATTGATTTTGAAATACTATTTGATAATCAGTTCAGGCTATGCCAATTGTCAAATGCAATTTCTGCAATTAGAATATATTTCATGTCGTAAGTAGTTAGGTACACAACCTACATAAAGCTTCAAAAATCGACATGTGGCATAAACCAGACTGCTCTGTTTCCTAAGTTCTTCTTTGAATGCTTCTATTCACACATTCAAAAAAGCTAAGACAGAAATATTTTGTATTGCTGTGTTTTATGTGTTCAGTATTTGTGGATATTTGCTGCCTTTTAAGATGATTCCGAAAATTCCGTAGTATATTATACAAAGCACGTGGAACAGGATCTGCATGTGTGTTGTCTAGTAATCATAAGCGTTATTTTTACTTTTGATGCTAGTTAGCATTTTGCTTAGGCAAGCCTCATTGTCAAATATGAAGTAACATTTCCATTTTGTAGAGACTAAAACAGAAATGATTTTTAAAATAAATTTTCTATGTGTATTTTTATTTCAAAAATAGACGGAAAAAGAGAGAAAAATTGATTTCATCAGATGGTTCACTCCTCCAAAACTCCAAATCCCTGGGGCTAAGCTAATCCGAAGCCAGGAGCCAGGAGACCAGGTTATCCATTTGGTAATGAGCAGTCTGACTGTGCTGTTCTTCCTGCTGCCTTCAGGAAGAACAGCATCAGAGTGTTGGAAGAATAAACCGAGACAGGACTTGAACCTATTACCTTGACTAGAGGCACATAGGCATTGGGTTTTGTGGCATGTGATTTAACCTCCCATTGAAAGACTTGCATCCTATCATGGAGTGCCAGCTCAAGTCCCAGTTAATACACTTCTAAGCAAGCTCCCTGGCAATGGGCTGAGAGGCAGCAGATGACGAGCCAAGGAGCTGACTGTCTGGTTCTCCCACACACACCCGGCTTAGATTCAGATTGGACCAGCCTCGGTTCTTGGGCAGGGGGCACCATCCTGAAGTTACATGGGCAGAAGATATCCTTAGCCCTCTCTGCTTCCCTCTCTTTATGTCACTGTGCCTTTCAATGGTGTGAATGAACCTGTTTAAACACAAAGGAACATAGATTCAATGTGAGAACTTAAATCATCATTAATGTACTTTTTGAAATAAAAAAAATCTACATATATATACTATTGAATGTTATATGCCCAAAGTCTACTCTATCCTCCAGCATATAGGAAACATGAAATATCAGTTGGTAAGTAACAGCCACGCATTGCATGCTTATGTTTATTTTGCCCACTCTCGGCATTTACAATACTTCTTGAAGTCTTATATTCTTCAGAAACAGAATGGAGAGATGACTTTTCGTTAAATAAGAAATGTTAGTCTGAGGGTCAGAGTTTAGAATGATATAACATGGAAATAATCGCTTTTAATGAAATGCTGGATTTACAAATGCAATAAAGTTACTCTTTAAATAAGGTGAATTTTTGAAAAAGAAACTTCTAATTTCAAATGCTTTCTAAACTATTCTTTGTTGTTTAGTACATTATTAAATATTAAATATTAAATATTCTTCACTGGGATGGGGGCAGACCAGACTGGGCAGAGCTACCACACCTGCGTGCCTCATGTGGACTAGATCAGGGAAAAGCCGGGCTGGGCGGATTATTCCTACTGGTGCAAACAAAATTAAAGTGGGCGAGGGTTGTTTGGGCTTAGACACAGCATCAGCTGGAATCTGGGAGTGGGAGAGGCCTGGGAGGGAAATAGTGGGCTCATCCCTCTTGGGTTACCACTTCCACAGGACGACATAAAACTAAGATAGCGGCTGGGGTGGGATGGGGTGTGGGACAGACTGGATTACTGCTACACTTACTGGCAAACCAGGGTAGGGAGTGGGCCTGGTGGGGGTTATTGTGGGTCGCTCCAACTAGGCTGCAGCTCCCACTGGTTTATGTGAGGGCCAAGTATGTGCTGGGCAGAACCAGGCTGGACTGCAACACCCATTGGTTCCAGTGGAAGTTGGGAGTGAAAACAGAACCAACCCAGCAATTGCAACCACCTGATTGCACCATGGCTGATTGGAGCCATGGACAGTGCCAGGCCCTGTACTAGTTAGCACATACAAGAAGTTTCTTTGGAGATCTTCCTAATCTAAATGCTGGACTCAGAACCCTAACCAAGAAAAGAGAGAAGACAGAACAGATCAACCAACCATCTCAGCTATGATGGACTAGGTCAATCAGTGGATTTTTCAAAGACCTCATAGTGCTTGGAGTGGCAAGATTGACAGCAATTCATAACTGTTGCAATATCAAAACCACTTGAGCAAGAACCTCAGAGCATGCCCTACATCTGGGACCTGGGTAGGGTGGGAAATTGGGTGGGCCTTCTCCCTTAATACCCGCCTTTAAACATGAAGGTAACAATATGGAAAACATACTAGTATTATCCACTTTCCTGTAGCCCTTGAACCTTCTTACCCTAATTAACTATGTAAAGAATGTCAAAATAAAATTTTATAAAAAAAAAAGCAATATGGAAAATGCATGCCTAAAAAAAAATTAAAATAAATAAATAAATAAATATTCTTCACTGAAAGATCTGTGGGATACAATTAGAACAAGTGTACAATATTATGTATTTCTATAAAGCCAAAAATTACTTGAGATATTTTCTTCTGTTCAGTTTCTTTCAAACATCAGTTCTTCTCTGACAATAGTATAGAAGCTATGTGCTAATTAATTATTTCCACCTGAATGGTTTGTCTTTCATGATATTGTCTAAATCAAATAGTAGATAATTTCACTGCAGTTGTGGGAGTAATTTGCTTACTGTTCACATTTTACAGCTTAATACTGATTTGAAGCACAAATAGTTTAGATCACAAAAAAACACCAGCAGAAATACCACTGCAAAAAAAATACTAATTAACATACATTGAATTATGTACCTCTTGGACTTAGGGAACACAAAG